TAAAGTTGTCTGCAAATAAGAGAAAAGGAAATAGCCTAATGAATGTAGTACATTTGGAAAATGTATGCCATTTAAGCAACTAAGGGCTCTGACAAAGGAGTTTTGCAAAAGCTTGCTGGAGAGATTTATGAAGTCACCAGACCAACTGTCTGCCCACTTCTTTTTTGGATATTCCCACTGCTTTTTAGAAGGACAGCATGAGTGGGCATGTGCTGGTCCTTCAGCTATTGTAGTTCATATCCTGGCATGTTAGGTTAAGTCACTCCTTGGCAGAAGAGTCAAACGTACAGGAAGGAGCTCTCCTAAATCACACCAAAAATATTTCAGAGCATTCAACTGTTAGAGTCATGCCTTTAACATTTAGTGTAATTTTAAAGGGAGCTAGTAGATATTACAAGGGAAATAGCTGTAGAGCTATAGTACTAAATTGCAAGCTTGCAAAACAGAAACAAAGCAGAACAATATAAACCTGCCAGGTGGCTTGCCTGGACTTATTTACTCTATTTTATCTGTGAGTGGGCTTCTTATCATTCACAGTATGTATGTAGATAAAAAAAACTGCAGAGTTTGGCATATTTAATATAGCTAAAGTGCAGAAGTTCACTAATTTATTTGTTTTTAATTGGTAAATGTGTTCTTCTATAATGATGAAGAACTTGCACGAAAACGCGGAATACTGAAATTTGGAAAAAATAGTTACATACTTTGTAATTAGTGGCCCCACAGTTGCTTTGGAATGGTTTCTGAAGTATGGCAACCAGTTTGATTTTAACAACTAAATAAATGTACTTCTAATTGTATATTGACATAATCTGACACTTTTTTAATAAGGTTAAGTTGGCAATGAGCAACTGTAGAATGTTTTCACTTGGAAAGTCTACCTGAGATTTTTTCTTTTTAATCCTCCCAACTGAGAGTGGACGAGGCTAACAAAAAGATGATCTCTATGACTCATCTGGTGATGAGGCTTTTGTTTCATCTTCTCAATAGCTCATTGAGCCTTTTGTATTTTCACAATTTTGGACTTTCTTCAGAAATATCTTTGCTTTAAGCTACAATAGAGGGCCTGAGGGTGCAGCATTAACGGAGAGCTTGACTAATACACAGGCTATATTAGACTGTTGCTCCACTCACCTCTAACTGCCATTTCATTCATTCAAATTATTTCAGGTTAACAACTACATTAGTTGCTTTCTTTGACCTCTGTCAGATGAAGAAATAGCCTAAGGTATACATGCTCCTTTTGATCCTCGCAACAAGCTAATTTTGGTTCCGTGTTATTCCAAGATGACAAACTCCTCCGGGATCCTATTTTAATCTTTAGTTTTTACTGGAGTGTCAGTTGCTAGCTAATAATCATACACCCTCTTAAAAGAAACTTTGCATCACGAGAAGCTTAGAAAGGTTCTTATGCCACGGAAGGATCACTGTGTAAGTGTGTGATTATTTATTCTCTCTCCCTGATAATCCATTACCTTGCTACTGCTAGAGAAGAAATGCTGGACTAAATAGACTTCTTGTCGTAGTCAGAATAGAAATTTTTGTGCAGTTCCTAAAGATCTTAATTATTTCTGGAAACACAGTGAACCTAAATGTGCTTCTGCAAAGTATTTGCACATTTTGTCTTAATCATCTACATTTGAACGAGTGGAATATAGCAGGTGAGTACTGTGGACTCATTTCCAAACATTTAAGGTAGAAATTGCAAGTCTTACATTCTTTGAGACTGAAACTGCCAAAGTCTTGCTTCTTAAAACCTCAGTTCTCTGGCAGTGGCCAAGGCTTCAACCAGCCAACTCCCATCAACATCGCAGAAACAAATTACGTCCTGACCACCTGGAATACTGTGGATTTCAGATGGGAACATGAAGTAGATTCTGAGTGTGAGGGTGGCTGGGACTGCTCTGTGCAGAGTTCGTTAGAGCTCTCTTTATCCTTTTCTTATACTAGAAGACTAGGGGGCAAAAGCTGAAATGAAAAATGTAGCACATTTAATGTTGATAAAATGAAATAATTTTTAAAGAACACAACTGACCTGTGGAGCTCCATACCAAGAGATATAATTTTAAAGAGGAGAATAGTAGAATGCAATAAAGCATTTGATGAGTTTATATATAATAAAATCAGTTACACTGAAGACTGGATAAAAACACACTGAAAGAGTTACAATTGCTTCTAAATCAGCAAGTGCTTATTGAGGTTATGAAGAAACTATCCCAATAGACAACTTATTTCCCAATTTTCCACTCTTCTCTGGTGTATGTTGGTCATCTATGAGACCAGAGAAAGCAGAGTTCTCATGTAATTTAGCAATTAATAACAATCAGACAGCTGTTTATTGTCTTTTTCTCAATATACTTCAAATACCTGACTGACTGTTATTTAGACACAGGACAGAAGAAAGTCTTGCTTATTTATTTCTAATACATCATTATAATTTAACAACTTTTCTTTGAAAACAGACATATATATCTTCATGCATATAATTATACGTGCCAAAATTATAACAGCCAACTGCAACATAATTTGATAACACAATCTACTTCTAAGAATACCAATCTCTAAATTAATCTAGTGCATCAACTTTTACTTAATTATTCCAGCAGACTACTTTCACAGAATTATTTAGCAATGTACAAATGATTATACATTTGTGTTGCTCTAGCTTACTAAACGCTATTCCTAGACTAGATTGAAACTAACTTCAGTATGGTATAAAATAGGATGCCTTATAATGAATCTCCTACTAAAAAATGGCATCCAAATAAATATACATTATCTTTTCCTTAATGTGTTTTATTTTATTGAGGTTCCTCCTCCCAGATTCATTCACTGGTTCAGATTTCTAACTTCCTAACAGCAACTCACTACCAGACTTTTGAACTGCTTTTAGCTAACAGAAATGAATTTTAAATAAAGTCTTGAAAGACTGGTACTCACCGTGGCTTCATATAGAGATCCTGAGGGCCATATCTTCCTTCTAGTGCTCCTCAGGACTTGACTGGTATCTTATTAACTAGAAAAAATGAGTTTAGAGGAACTTACATGTGTACTCGGAGACCTCTGTTCACCGCAGACATGACACCTTACCATCCTTCTAAAGCCACAGGTTCATACTTAATACAAAGTTTAGGGCTGAGCTTCGAAGAGCTCCCGAGGTACTTTTGGCAGAGGATAGATCCATATAATTAACAACTGGAAGCTCGTACTTTGTCAAGAAAGCATATTTTTAAATCTCACTGATCAATGACTAAGCCCTTCTGAAAGTCTTGCATACAGATCAGTGTGGCTGTGGAAGAAATTTTACAGTACACATAAATGTAAGGTATGTCCATTTTCAGGTGCTTTACACTGCTGGAATAACATAAAATTGTGCTAATGTAACTGAGCCAGGACAGTGAGTTCTACCAGCAGATCAAATCTGACTCGACAAGGCCACAAAAGCAATTCTGCAGCTACAACTAGGGTTTATTAGGGTCCCACAGACTATGAGTGAAACAATACTTCAAGATTTTGGTTTCTGCTTAGAACATAAGCATTCTGGAGGCGTCTACATTTTTGGTCTGAACAACTTCTGCTTCACTGCTATTCATCTGTTATGGGAATAGTTTTTACAACTGGAGTTACAGAAAAATTCATATGATGGATTAACTGCTTTTTTAGAAAAAACCCTTTTTCATATATTTAGGTATTTAGACACAAAACACTCAATTACTTACGCGCCACTTTGTGAGCTTCATCCTGTCATTTTGTGAGTTAAGGCTTTAAAATTCTTTAAGACAGTATGCTATTACTATAAAAAGTAGAAGGTAGCAAAATGTTTATTTTAGATTATAACTCAGATTAATTTTCATTGCACTGTAAGTTTCAAGATGATAAATATGAAAATGAAAATCCATGAAGAAAACTCACACACTATAAATATGTTCGAAAAGCAACGATCTGGTAGATTCCATTTATATACAACTTAAGTCATAGCACACTTAAAATGCTGTATATGCAAGTGACTTACTGGTTGCATCTCTACCTACAGTAGTCCAGGAAAAGTATCCTCTTTATATGTGGGCTAGCAAAAGTGACCCAGCACAGAGAGTCCTTTCATCTTATTCCCTTGCAATATAAAGTTCATTTTTACTACCACAGATGTTTCAGTTGCTTACTTAATATAAGAGCTTCAGTCCAGATTTCACAGCCTTTGTCTCCAATGCACTGTGCTGTTCCATACTAAGTGGTATATCACAGGGATGGAAGGAAAAGCACCAACTTAGCACAATGAAGTTTGGCTGGGAAATAATTTACTCATTTTGTTCCAGAGGGCTAAGGCCACAGTGTGCTGAAGTGGTACTATTGTGTAAATTACCTGTATGGAACATTGATCCTCTATTGTGAGGAATCAAATTCAGTTGAGGTATCATAGTAGAGTTGAAAAACACATTTCTGAATCACAAATGCCCATGTACATCTGGTCTCTAACCCATCATTTAATGTTTTTACCTGTTTTTATATGCTAATTAAATAAATTAATAAATTCCCTCTGTCAACTTTTCTGTGTACAAATAGTGTTTAAATGAACAGCTGGCGTCTTTCATTCTGATTCTTACCACCAACACTTTTCTCTTGTGGCAAAAAAGTACATGAAAGAAATGGCAAATGAAAACTGCAAGGTATTGCCAGGCATTGTTCTCTGTTGTTACAGAGATTTACTCTATAGCATGCTGAAGAACATCACTTTCATAATAGCACCTCCCTTCTAATATGCTGCCTCTTTATAAACCCTCCTCCCCAAGAAAACCACATCTGTTTCCTACCGATAGCTTTAAACACACATCCCCTTAATGTCTTCTAACAGGAAGTAGAAACTGAGAGAAGTTCACATTCGCCAACATTTAAGAATCAGCCTGGGAGCCATTCCAGCATTTCCCTGAAAGAGTCACACGTGAAAAGTGGGAAAAGTGTCTTCGACAAGATGTCATCAGCAAATGGCCGGAACAACAACTCTGAAGGTTAGCATTACAACTTTGATCTGATTTCTTGCTTTCATAGTCCAAGGTATCAAAGAGTGTATGTATCTGTGTTTTGTTTTGTTTTAACAGAGAAATAGCATTGAGGCTACAATATTTGGTTCTGGGTTATTTTATGTCAGAGTATACGACACGCTAGTATGTGAACATACTTGAAATCTCTAATTATATGATTGTAATTATACTTATAAAGTAATGTGTGCAAGGGGAGGTCACTGGCATTACTGCAAAAACAGCTCACTACATGACTATCTCTTTATCCCCACACCCCCCTTTTCGTCGGCTATTCTCTCAAATGTGTGCTGGTAATGTCAGATAAAACAATGAATTAATTTCTTCACATACAAATTAAACAATGCACTTGATCAAAGTGACAATGGGGAATCACAGTAATAGCATCAGGACTGCTCTCAGTAAAAGAATGTAGTGTACTCATTCATGCAAAACCAGCTTTCCATCTTTTCCTTTTTTTGGACAATCGTCCTAGGCCTGTTTAGTAATTTTTGATAAAACATGACAGAATGGTATCATATGTTTTGAAAATATGTTCTATATAATTTAAATTTCTTAATGTTGCAAAATGTTATTAAAATCTTAACAGCACAAAGTTTACTCCTGTCATAAATACAGACATAAAAATAAATATAATAAATAAAAATACAGACACCAGTCCTCACTCATGAAAAAGCAATAACTTGATTTTCTATTTTGGTGGAAATAGTCTGAATTTGGCAATGTCTTTTTAAAATACTAATAATGTAAAGTTTAGTTTTGATTTTCTGTGTGTAAATTGCACACATCATCAAATTGACAATAAAGATAGTAAGTCATCTCTAAATAGTACTTAAAAAGAGAATATGCAGTAGTGAAGGAATCAGTTCAGTAGGACACTAAGTGAAGAAATTCTATTTTCACTTACACCTCTGCATTGCTAGTGTAGCAACATGATAAGAATCTTTGGATAAAGGGCAAGTGATAAAAGAGGTTAGCTTGTAAGTCTCATTAGCCTTGTATTCGCAAGCTTTGATGAGTTCAGGACAAATCTTGATTTAGAAAATTATTTTAATGGTCTCAATCTCATTCTGTGATTTCATGCAGTATCATGACAGTTTTATATAGTTTAGCCCAATACCTGTATCTCATTTCTTGTAGAACAGCAGTATTCCTTTAACTTCTGGATTGGAAATACAGTGCTGATTGTCCAAAAATTGAATCATGTCTGTTAGTTCTTTCAGTATCATAAGCATAACATATTTATACAGCATTGAATGGTTTTGTAGCCTGAGGTGTTACCTCTGACTTGAGATTCAAATTTTCATTAAATTTTTTCCTAGTCTCTGTTCCTAGATATGCCAGAGGTTTTTGATTCCGGATCATTCAAGAATGTGTTGGCCAGCATCAGATACAGGATTCTTTCTAAAAGAATGAGTATTTCCGTTAGCAGCACACATTCTTGCTCTGCACAAGGCATTCAGAAGTCAAGTTGATTTGCCTGTTGAACATTACTTTTATTACATCCACTTGTTAATTTTCACAATTAACTCTTTAATTTGATCCTAATCCTACTGATTATCTGTAAACTTAATCTAATTTCACCACGGGAAATCAGGAGTAACTATAGTGAAAAAAGTGGAATTCTATTGTTTAAAAACTGAGTGATAGTAGAATCTACTCTGCCATCTTCAGAGTTTTATAATTTAGATGCAAGCATGCCCTCTGAGCTGAAATATGACATTAGTTTTGAGACCCAAAATTATATTGATACTTGCCCAGCTTTACACCTTGTTTGCAAAGGGAACTTCATTTACAATAAAATGTACAGAAATGCAAGCATTCTATAAAAGACATTGAAAAAGTTATTACCTTAAAGTCTCATCTTTTTCTTCCCATAAGGTTTAGAATATACAGGTCTATTCAGCAATTCTGTTCTATAATCTTGTTTAATTGTTATCCCAACATCCTATATGGTACAGAGGAAATAATAATTATTTAATGTATTTATGGACTTGCAAAACATTTTACAGTGTGACTGTTTTGTAAGATGAACAAAATGTTTAACTCTTTCTATGTCAGAGCAAGGCTCTTAAATGAACATATGTCCAAAATAGAAGATTACTGTGATAGTTGCACCAAATCTGAAGAGAGCTGAATCTTTCCAGAACTACAAAGTGAGTTTTTATTTAATTGTGGTCTTACCGCTTCTCACACCATAGTTGCTGGCCACATATACTGGAAATTTTGAATGAACTCTTTAAATGTTCTCTTTCAGTGTTTCTCTGAGAGTGTGTAATCCTGAAGCAGGATTTATAGATGTAGTTTTAGATTATACTGCCAGATCAATATAGTTTGGGCTAAGAAATTTATTTCCAAACTCAGGGCAGTACAAGACAAGTTAGCTTAGTACATGCTACAGTATGAGTTGAAATCTAAGCTCTATGCATGGTGTGATCTAAGCAGTGTAATTTTAGATCTGGTTTAGACAAACCTTAAAACAGATACAGATATTCTGAAGCTGTCTTGCACCTAGATTTTTAATTAAAAATTAAAAGTTGCTAGTGCAAACATTATGGGTAACAGTAATTACGCAAAGGTATCACTAATGTTTCGCTGCTGTGTTTGTTGAGCTCTGTTTCACAGGAGCTGATTGTGGAAGATTAGAAACTCAAATAGATGGTCACATATGTCAGAGACAGAATGCAAGGAAGTTAGGTCTGTAATACACGGAAAGCTGGTGTGAAATTAAGTATGTGATACTTATGACTTATACCATTGCTGTACTTATGACTTATACCTTGCAGTACTAAGTCGAGCTTTGAGCAATGGAAAAACCTGTCAATAGGCAGGTAGGTAAACAGGCTAAAAAGTGGAAGAAAAAAGAAATCTTTCTCAGGCCTTAACGAATGATTCAGTGTATATGGAGAGCATGCTCTTTTGTTGTTTGCATCCTCCAGAACCAAGCAAATTTGCAAGAACTCCATAATCTGGTAAGGTGAGGAGGACTATAAAGATTTAGATCATTCAGATTATGTTGTTTTTAATTCCTGATATATAATAAAAGGGGATCAAGTCTGATTCAGAAAGACAGACTCCAAATACTGCATCTAGACTCCAAATACTGCATCTATCTACCATGCTTTTTTTCTTTGGACCTCCACAGGAAATCTATTTTTCAGACTTTAAATATAGTATTGTAGTTAGTGCTTTTTTAAAGGACGGGTGTTTATTTCCAAAGGATTACATGAGAACAGAAATACTCCTGTAATCTTAGTCTTTTTTCAAATGATGTACACTACGTGTAGAATTAGGAATGTGTACACTTTGGAGGCATGCATTATTTTAAACAGTTAAAAAAATGCTTCTAAGCTGCATTGCTCAAGTAGGATCAGACTGTTGTCTATCATGACTATTACTTCAACCAGTTTACTGTTTGGTGAGTAACTGGTTCCATTTTCCATTAATATAATTTCCTTTCTGAGAATTTTCTTCAACCCAGGGAGGACATTAGAACCAACACTAAAAGCTCATGTAAATCAGGGATGAATTCAGACCATCTTTTTGTGCTGTTTGTTTCCTTTGATAATCAACTGTCTGGAAGCAAGCTTTTTTTCTGATGGGGTCTATTTAGAAATGCTGTAGCATTTCAGTCAGTGTCACCTCAAACTGCTATTATTACAGAAAACAAAACACGTTAAATGTCAGCATAAATAAAATTAGTATCCTTGCTATATTGAAGAAGGAAACTTAAAATTATTAAGTAGGTTGAAGTTGTGATAACACCTTTTTTTCCTTTCTTACATCCTTCACATCAGAAAGACTATTCAGCGCACAAAGATGGGGGGTGGGGTTTGGACCGAGACTGCCTGTTAAGCTGACGGACCTACAGAATAGCCCCATTCTTCCCCTCTAATACAGCTTTTCCCACATTGTGGAATGGTGAAAGAGATACATAAAGAGGTGCAGAATACATCCTCCTCTGCTCACAATCTTGGAGCAGATATTTGCAGCTTCAAGCAGAGATTAGTAGGTGAATGATAAGAGCTCCCTTAAAAGATGGGTCACAGGAAAAAATAGTTTGATAAATGTGGCTCTGCTGTTTCGACTGACAAGTGCTCTATTATATTTTTAACAATTTGTTCCTTCTGGGGAGATTGCAGTAACTTGCTATATAATCTTAATCAAATCTCTTAATCTCACTCTCTTCTTCAGATTCTTATTCAGTAAAATAGGGATAATAATCCACGCTCGCACATGTAATAGAGTTAGGGATCTATCCACGTGTCCCCTTCTGAGTACTTACACCCATTACTGGAGACTATTAACACTGTAGTTGAATGCAGTTTTTAAACAAAAAACCAGAATCAGCTCAGGAATGGAAGAACAGTCAAACACGAACATTATGTCATTAATACTGCAGAGAGCAAAGAATGAAGTGATCCAAATTAACGGGGCTGGGTCTGTTTCTTCCACCTCAATGAAATCTCCAGTGATAAGATCACTTTTCGCCAACTTTCCTTAAGGCACATGCTATATATATTTTATGACTTGAATAAAAGTTTCATCTTGGTGAAATGAAGCAACATGAGGAAAGAACATACGATACTTCTTTGAACCTCGTCCCAGACACACATCAACTTACTGTTATAGTCACTGAGTCACAGCAGATTCCCAAACTGCATTTGGAGACTGCTTGGAATTTCAAGCTGAGGGAAGTTTACTATTCTGAGAAATATGCATGAAAGGGCCACTCATGATGTTTATCACAAGGCAAGTCATAAATCTACATCTTGGAAGACCGTAAGAAGCTCCTATGCATTTGTAATGGTTACCTGCTAGTTAGCTAGTTTGATTTCAGTTACATTTTAATGCAGAATTTAAGTAAAATTACATCATCAGATAACATTAAAGATGAAACACAACCTGAAAGAATACTACTTTTCTAATATCTTGGACCGAATTGAACATTTAAATCATATGTCTAATCG